AATGTATCTGTAATTCTGTAATTCTGTAATATGTAAATGTATCTGTAATTCTGCAATTCTGTAATATGTAAATGTATCTGTAATCCTGTAATTCTGTAATTCTGCAAATCTTATATATAAATAAACTTTCATGTAACAAATTTTTTTATAATGAACAAGAGACCAAGAAAAGAACCAAGCAATTCTATTAATTGTGGCAGACAATTTACAGGTGTATGGAGGCAATTTATTCAAGGGTTAAGGAAAAGGAAATGGTATATATGAAGGTGAATGTATAAGTTGTCATAAAAAATGGGCATTTGCAAAACCTGGAATCTTACATTCTCATTTAGCAAATGCTGTATGGTAAGAAACAGCAAAATTTGTCAATCCATAAACTTGAAAGTCTGGCTAAAGTTTATAGATATAATACAGTCAGGGATTTTACCAAATTTGGAAATTTCCAAATATTGTAATGATCAACGTGGCAAATGTGGCAAATGAAAATTTTGATCGACAAATAAACAAGTTTGTGGCAGATTAAATTTTATGAATTCATATCTAAAATTTGTTATTACTGATTGCATTTCAACAAATTTATTTTTTTATGTGTGAAGCAAAAATTTTAAAGTAAATAATTAAAAGATTCATAATTAGATAAAATTATTTTGATAGGATAATTTAATAGATTTTAAATAAAATAAAAGGTAATTATTTGTAAATGTTCAAATAATTATCACAATTATTTACAAACATTTAGATATTATTTAACACTGTTAATGAACTGATAATTTTATTGTTGTAAAATTATATAAAAGTTATCTTTATTTGTTTGAATTTTACATCTTTAAATAATAAAAATACAGTTCTTAAAATACAAATATAAATCATAAGAAAATAAATAAATATATAATCTATATATTGTATGGAAGCTTATAGACTTCCCGGAAAGTATTGATCATAATTAAAGATAACTTCTTAATTATAAATAATATAAATAAAAACAATAATATGATTATATTCCCTACAATATAACATAGCAATATAATATCCACTTTTCTTAATAAAAATAATAATGATAATAATAATAATAATATGTATAATTCTTCACCAAAAATCCCGATTGCCAAGTAACTTAAATTAAACGATAAAAAAAATATGAATTCATCTTACCAAATATGGTAATAAAATTAAATTCCATTTGTGCGACATAATATTTCGAAGTTTGTTACAGGTAGTTTGTATGGAATTTTGACTTTGATTGATTTGTCTATTAAGTTTGGATGTGATGGTAGATCTGGAAATTCTTCTTTCAGGATATCTCTTAGGGCAAGATTTATTTTGTTGTATTTGAAATTTTGTTTTTTACCTATGAAACCAGCAATATATTGTAGCTTTCTGATGGTATCTGAATGGTTGATGTTTTTCCATCCAATTTGATTGAAATAAGCCCAACCTAATTTGATTTTGATCATTTTGAAAACATTATCTTTTTCTTTCTTTCTTAGTTAGTTTGGTTTGTTCATGGGTATTTTATAAGCATTTGTTGAGTTGAAAAGGATTTTTTCAAATTCTTTTTGGTGTTCAGTTTTAATTCCATTTTTGTAATTTGTGAATGATTTGAACAAATATGTATCATTACATTCTAACATGTATAGTGTAGCAGGGGGGATCTAACCTTTTATTACTGTTGATTCTACTTTTATATTTTTCCTACCTATTCTTATTAGTTCAATAAAACCTTCTCGATTTTTATTAGTTTGTTGAAAAGATCCAGTTGAATTATTATTAGATTGTGATCTGTTTCTTCCTGATTTGTGTCTATGCTAGAGGTATCATATTCAATTGTTTCATTATCTGACATTAAATCATCAGTAATTTCTGATGATGTTATATTATCTATGTTAGTGTCTTCAGGATTTTTGTTTGTATCTGTTTGATTATCTTGGTAGATCTTGGATGTTGATTGATCATTAGGGTTTTTAGAATTGTTGGATAATTGATTTTTTGGGTTAGGGTTGGGCATATCCCAGAATAGGTCTTCTCCTGTAATCCCTTCATGGATTGTAAAATTCATTATTGTTTCACCTTCACTCCAGTTTATTTTTCTTTGGGAATTTCCTTTTCATTGAAATGTTTGTCTTTTATTTTTTGGTTTATTATTGTGAATGGACTTTTGTAGCATGTTGTTGTGGTTCACGTTTTTTCATTTCTTCCTTTTGTTAATGTTAATTGTTTGGTTTAGTTGTGTAGTAATTTCGATTTCGGCCAGGTTCTTCCTTATTTTTTTTCTTTATTTTCTTATAATTTTCCTTGTTGTGCCACAGGTAAATTTTATTTTTGAAAGAAAAAATTTTTTTTCTAATTTATTAATTTATTAAATTGATGATAATTAATAATATTAAATCCAATATATTAAAATATTTTTCTTTGTAACCTTTTGAGTAGAAACTCCAATTAAATCTTGTGTTTTCATATTGTCTAATAATTATCAATATAAGCAAAAGCTAAACTATTGGTAAAACAATAATGCAAAAAAAATTCTTTGCTTTTAACCCCCCAAAGAAACTCACACAACCCATATATTCTCTGAAAGCTCTCAATGTATTTTAATTTAATCATTACATTCCTAAATATATATAATGAATATTAATTAAAAATAGATACCAAAGTAAATATTGTATATTATAGAAAAAAAAACTTATTGCTATTACCATTACTGTCTTCAATATACACAATTGTTTTTTTTTGTGAATCTCCCCAAAACTTATTAACCAACACTTTGTAAAATATACTTCAATAGTTGCATGATAGGTGGGTTGATGCTTATTTGATGTAAAAATGAAAACGCCATATTAATATAAGTATTTAATAGACTTTTCAAAATTTAATAGTTCCTTGCCTATTACTATTACCATATATTTTTGTATCTCACTAAGTACTTGATCAAATTGAGTGGTATTAGATTCAAAAAGAAGCACAAATTCTATTTCACATCATATTCAAAAATTATTTAGTTAATATGTAGCAATGTTATTTTAATATTGATTTTAAATCACAATTTGTTGATGTGTTTTGATAATCTAATCATATGAATAAATGTAAAAGAAAAATTTTAGTGTCTATTTATTTATTGTTAAAATAAATGATTTGACTTATCTAGCTAGGTGAACAAAACTAAATATTCATAATAATGTAATTATTTGGGCATGTATTTCTACAATATATCCACCGATTTGCACAACATTTTGGGATATGAAATTTTGGGAAATAAATTTTTAAAAAAAAATCGCACTATTTTATATAATATTGTTATTTTTACAAGTGAATTAATAAATAAACATTTCTTCCTCTACTTATTAATCAACCTGATGTTTTTTTTCACATAGTTAAAGTGACTTATTTTTGTAATAATTTTTTAGGTCAATTATTTAAATAAAATGTCCTATGGTGGCAATCATCTAAAGACATCACAAAACGTTGCCAGTCTTTAACTCAAAATCCTATATATTGATAAGATATCAATGAGAATCCTCAGAATTTAAAAAAGTGATTTCAAGATTGTTCTTTCTTCGCATCATTATGCCCCGCGTCACAAACTATGCCCCATGTCACAAACTATGCCCACGTCATGAAGTATGCTTCGCGTCATGAATTATTCTGCATCACGAATTATGCCTCACATCATGAATTATTGAAGACTCTAGCTTTCATATGATTATTACTTGTGGTATTGGTTAATAATATTATATGTCAAAATTTTCTTAAGGCAGACAATTATCAAAAACATGTACTTTTCCCGAAGAACCATCCATGTAAATATTTTTTTTTTTTGCTTTAACCACATAAAGCACTTGGCTATATATATTCAGGATAATTCACTTCACATACTATCTAAATTATCGCCTCTTCGCGTCATGAATTATTCTGCATCACGAATTATGCCTCACATCATGAATTATTGAAGACTCTAGCTTTCATATGATTATTACTTGTGGTATTGGTTAATAATATTATATGTCAAAATTTTCTTAAGGCAGACAATTATCAAAAACATGTACTTTTCCCGAAGAACCATCCATGTAAATATTTTTTTTTTTTGCTTTAACCACATAAAGCACTTGGCTATATATATTCAGGATAATTCACTTCACATACTATCTAAATTATCGCCTAGAAAAAATGATATTAAAAAATTTTTGTATGTGCTGTACTATATTCTTTTTACAAAAAAAAAAAATTATTATACCAACAATGTACAATAATTATGCACCAAAAGCTTTATTCATATTAATAATAACAAACTTTTCCTAATTTAATTTTGGTTTTGGATAAAGTAAATTTTTTAATTCATTTAATAAGGATATAATGACTTCAGAATACATACTAATTAGTCAAAGAAAAAAAAATTTTGTAAGGGTTTTTAGGAAATTTAAAAAGGAAAAGATCACAAAACTTTTTATATGCAACTAAATTTTATGATTAAAATATTAAACAAAAACTTCAAACTAGCGATTTATTACAAATGTGACATGTGTCATTTTGATACAATCATAGTACATGAGTAGGCACAGCAATTCAAGAAAATTTTCTCAACAACTTAACAATAATTATATTAATCTTGAAAACTATTTGTAGCAGTAGTGGTTATTTGTAGCAGCCATATCTATTTGCAGCAGCTGTAATTATTTGCAGCTGCTGTGATTATCTGCGGCTGCTGTGATTATCTGCGGCTGTAGTGATTATCTGCGGCTGCCATGATTATCTGCGGCTGCTGTGATTATCTGCGGCTGCCGTGTTTATCTGCGACTGCCATGATTATCTGCGGCTGCCGTGTTTATTTGCGGCTGCCGTAATTATTTACAACCCCATAGCTATTTGCGGCTGCCATAATTATTTGCGGCAAATGATAGCTACCAATAGCTATTTACAACAATGGTAGCTACCAGCCAATCATTTACAGCAAATGTCTTTAGTGCGCAACAGTTGAATCCTGTAGAACATTCAAATTAAGCGTGAATTAAAATGTTTAAGTTCTTCAAGGTTGATTCAGTCATTTTATAATTAACCAACATGTATATAAATAACTAAAATTCACTTGTAAATAAACTTTTTCTTGAATAAAGCAAATAAATAACTATCTTGCAATACGCAAAGCTATTTGCTAGCATTATAACCTATTCATCTGATTCAATACAATTAAAAATACATCATTACCTTGGCTCTTTTGTTAACAATGGATTTAGATTCTGAAGAATTATCTACAAATCTGAACCCCAAATCATCATCTAATGATTTAAATAATTTTGAAACTCACAATTATCCTTCTAATAAAAAAATAACATATAAAAAACATAATAAATATTATCTTTATGAAATTATTAAAGAAGGGATTTATCCTGAAACTTTAAAATATACTAAATCTAATGGAAAAGGAGATACCTGTCCTATACCCAATGAATACTTGGTTGAAACCGAATTTGGGAGAACAACTAAATATAAATTTCAATGTAGTATTAGATATTATAACAACAATCCTATATATTATTTGAATTGGAAAGATGGTGAAGGAAAAATTCATCAAGTTACTTCTCAAAAGTCTTCAACAGATGCAGCTCAAAAATATTTTCAGGTATCTAAAAATAAAAATCTTTATTAATTAATTAAATACAATCTATTGTCAAAATTTTCTTAATAATAAAACTTTGCATTTAATAGGCAAATGATAAAAATACTACAAACATGTCTGGAATATTGTTATTTGGGCTTCAACTTCAATGTGTACATAACCAACGTATTCATAAACAGAATAAAAATAAAAAGAATAAACTTATCTCTTTTGAAGAAGCCAAAGATACTACATGTAGATATCGTTTAAAAAGTCTTGGAAACCAATTTTTGGATGATTTTAATAAATCATCTAATTCCATTTTAAACTCCAATTCAAGTGAAATTGTTGGGATTACAATAAAAATCAATGATCAACTATACCAACTTTGTTTTAAAGAAGATGAGGATGAAAAAAAATTACATGCTGAAGCAGTGGCTCAACAACTTGATGTTCATAACATTTCACAGGCTGGATATCGTAGCTTAGCTAGAATTGAATCAAATTTACCAAGAGAAAATATGGTATCAAATGTAAAGAAAGAAATAACTAACTTGATGAATAATGAAATTCCAATAGTTCCTTTAAATCTTGATTTTCAAAATAATGATGAAAATAATCCTGATAATGAAAATGATGAAATAGATTCACATGAAAATTTAGATGTTGAAATTAGAAATGAAATAATAAATTCTCAAGATCAAGGTGGATATCGAAGCATAAAAAAAGTGTTGGATTATGTGATTAAGATTTTAATTAAAAAGAACATACTTGATCATTCCTTAGATAATAAAATTCATATTAGAATCTCAGGAGATGGCAGGAATGTTGGAAGAAAAATTAAACATGTAATGATAACATTTGCAATTTTGAATGATATAAATAATATTTTTCAACCTGATAATCATTATTGTTTGGTTTTATACTCTGGTATTGAAAAATATGAATATTCAAAAAATGCATTATATTATTTAACAAGAAGATATTGATAAAAATGGATTTATTGACTCAGATGGCCTAAAATGGAAAACAATTTTATATTTTAGTAGTGATTGGAAATTTTTATCAATTTGTTTGGGAATAAATAATGCAACAGCAATAAATTTCTGTCCTTGGTGCTTATGTTCAAAATCAGATCATAGTAAATTGGAATATTTCGAAAAAAATGGAAATAATAAAATCTAATTACCAAGCTTATGCAGGACATAAACATGCTCCTTTATTTACTATGATTCCATTAACTCATTGGATTCCAGATGAATTACATTTGATGCTTCGCATTACTGATCGTCTTTGGAGTTTAATGTTAGAAGAAACAGAGTACAAAAGAAATGAAAGTATTAGAAATAAAATTAAAGATGAAATGTCAAGAATTAAAGTGCATTTTGAATTCTGGCAAAATCAGGGTTCAAATAACTGGAACTATACTAGTCTTATGGGAGGTGATAAAATGAAAGTCTTAAAAAATTTTGATATTGAAAGTATCTTACCAAAAAATAGATCAGACCTTATTCGTGAGTTGTGGAATGGTTTTGATATACTTTATACAGCATTAAAAGATTCTACTACTGATCCAGTTTTTTTTAAAAATCAAGCAAAATTATGGTTGAATAAATTTTTAACTCCATCAATTGGTAATCCACGTAAAGGAAATTATATTAAAGGACTATATACTAATAATGATGTTACTCCTTATATTCATGTATTGGTCCATCACATACATGAATTTATGACAATCCATCATAGTTTTGGAATAAAGGCATTCACATGTAGTCCTGTTGAAAAAAAAAATCATATGCAAATAAGTAAATATTTTAGAAAAACATTAAAGGATGGTGGCAAAGGAAAGAAAAAAGCAGTAATTGAAATTTTGGAACATGAGAACCGTACATTATATTATAAATATAATGAAATACCAACAATTAATAAAAGTATTAAAAAAGTAAAAATAATTTAATTAATCACCTTTGTATTTTGTATGATAAGTATTTCATAATTTCTATAAAAAAAAATCTTATATATAACTATTTAAATCAGTTGGTTATTACGTATTAATAATTCATAAATTAAATATATAAATTAAATTAATTAATTAAATAAAATTTTATTTAACTTCCTTTATTTGTAAAAAAATTAATAATTATATTAGATGAATTTGTAATTTTTCCATTTCCTTCTACTATTTTTACTTCTTTCCACACCACCTTTACTTCAAAATTAACAATGTCCACATAAACATATTGGTTATTATCAAAATATCTAATTGACCAATCTTTATCATCAAATAAGTTTCCCAATCTTTCATCACCTTCTTCTCCAACAAATGAACTTAAATATAACCTTCTAGCAGGGGAATATCGTTTAAAATCAACTCTAAAAATACCTAAAAACATACCCTCGCTACATGGAATTGTTAATGTTTTTTTTCCTAAAGATTTATGATGTAATGTCAATTTTTTTTTAATATTATAAATTAAATTTTTTTTAAATTCTGTTAAATAGTATTGAGGCGGTGAGGGGATATTTAAAGGATATTCATGATATTCAAAATGTTTTTTATTTTCATGCTGTACTAAGCCACCTTTCGTTTTATATGATTTGCTGCATATAATGCAAGTCTCAGGATTGTTGTCATCTCCAATATTATTGTCTTGGCTAAAAACTTCTAAAATATTTTCTTGATTCATGTTTATTTTTAAAAAACTTCATAAAATTTTAAAATATTAGGAATATTATTATAAATTATAAATATAAATCCAGGGGTCGAAAAATCCAATTCACTCACTATTAAATCCAATTCACTGTCGAATCTCAACGAACATACAATATATAAAAATTACTTTTTTTAGATAAAGACTGGTGTAACATATCAGAAATGTACCTTAAAAACAAAAAAAAATAAACAAAATGTGCCCCAAAAACCAGCCTAAAATCGTGTAACATTGCAGAAATCGGTGGATATGTGGCTAAATTCTGTGAGATCTTTTTGTTGAATAATAATCTTTAGAGGAAAAGAAAAACAAGAAAAACATTGCAGGAGCTTTATTAATTGGTCAAATAATTTCCAAAATTATATAATATGTGCATTTTTAACTTTTCTGCAAGCTTATCCAAGATCAAGCAATGTCAGAAATGCTATTTAACTAATATATAACATATTATTATATTAATAATGATTTTTATTCATTATTAAATAATTTATTAAGCTGCCATTCATCAGAACAAAATACTTCATTTAATCTTTAAAAATAGAATTTAAAATAAATTTCCTGTTAAATAATAAATAAAGGATACATACAAAATCAATATAGTAAAAAAATAAATAATGATTATAATAGTTCTAGAATCAATATCCACCATTGTAAATAATTTATTTGGAATTTTATGCTTACATTCCATACTGAACTACTTTAGTGCTCCATGCTGCAATCCAACAAAGTTGTTGCAAGGCAGTTACAACTAGGTGTTGCAATCATTTTTATATGATGTAAAGGTGGTTACAACCATCATCAAAGTTGCAGTTGGTATCTTTAAAAAAATAATAATAAAGCCTAGATAAAAATATATTGTAATTAACAAATTAAATTACATGAATAAATATAGTAGTGGTGATTCTGAACATACTTAATAATAAGATTTGCACCAACATGGCATCAGCTGGCTTTCTGGATATTTGTTTGCAATATCTTCATACAAACAATACAAAAATAATGGTCTAAAAACCAATAAAAATTAAATTTCTAGTCATAAATTTCTAATTTTTAGTAAAAACGTACTTTGAACAAATCAACAGATTATTACAGATTATGAAAGAGCAAGTTTAATAGTATTTCTTTCAATTATTATAAACTGATTTATTCTTAGAAAATGTAACATAGATATAACAAGAAGTATCTTGTGAATTCGTTTGTAACATATAATGAATTGATCAGCAGACTATTCTGGAATATGGAAATAACCCTGACTGTATGTTACATGGGAGTTCGTTATAGAGAGCATCATTTATTATATAAATTTGCATTTGGTTCCCTCAAAGACAGTTCATTATACAGAATAGAGAATTTAATTATAAAGTTGTTGTACAAACCCAGGGCTTCTGGGACAAAAACTCATTTTTTCTGAGACAATTTATCATGTTTATAGCCACAAGGTGTTCCAGAAGCCTATTTCATGAATTTCGATACCATTATTTTTGTATATCCACTGAAGGGTTGCAAATTTGATAAGACGGTAAAAAAAAATTAATTTATCATGTTATGGAACAAATCAATCTTTTCTACTTGCTATAGTTGGCTCGGTCTAAAGACCTCCTAAATTTTGGACAAATTTTAAAAGTATAGAAGTCATTTTCTGTCTTACCTTTTAAAAAAATAGCTCTATTAGTTGATAGAATGTGCCTTTAGTTTTAATGTAATAGAAAGATTTTCTCAAAAAAATTGTTTGTTATAGAGTTCTATTCTTTTTTAAAACATGTACTTTACTATGCTCATGAGAAATTTGAGCACTATGATCATTGCTAAATTTAGACTAGTTTTTGATCATCATTCTAAATTTAGCCTAATACTCGACCATCATATCTAAATTTGGCAGTAAGGAAAATAGTTTTTAACCAAAATCACGTGTAACCCTTTTTTAAAAAAATTTATTGCATTTTTGAACGAGTCACGAAATTGCAATTTTTGAAATTGAGCGCGTGGCGCAGCAATAGGAGGTCTTTAGACCGAGCCAACCATATGAAAAATTTACAACATATCTTTGAAGACCTGAGTTATTATACTGATAATTTTAAGTATAGTTTATTAATAAAGTTAAGTTAAATAAGTAGTTTAAGATTCAAGATGAGTTACCATGCACTATATTATTGTTAAATTAAGCAATATTAAATAAATTAGTTCAAAACAACTTTTTCACTACAGAATTATGTTAATATGAATTTTTTCTTATAATTAAATAGAGATGTCTAAATTTCAGCAGTATGAACACTGCTATCTTCCAACACCATACACATGTACTGATAATTCACATTTGGATCCTCATTGCAAGTTCTAGACAATTTTTAGATATTACATGATGGTATATTAAAGGGAATCAGGAAAAAAACTTGGTATCAATTTTATTTGGGTTTACTAACATTAAAAATAGTCTTTTTCAGCTTTCTATTAACATTTCTGACAATCAAAAGGTTTTATTTCATAGCTTAACTTTGGAGATATCTTAATGTCCTTCCTAAGGTTATTGCTTCAAATTCCAAATCTGATAGGTTTAAAGACACCTGCCATAATTGGTTATTTGCGGCAATGGTAGCTACCATAGGGTAGTTACCCCTGGTAGTTACCATTATAAAATAATTACGGCTGCCGCAAATAGATACGGCTGCCGCAAATAGATACGACTGCCGCAAATAGATACGGCTGCCGCAAATAGATACGGCTGCCACAAATAGATACGGCTGCCGCAAATAGATACGGCTGCCGCAAATAGATACGGCTGCCGCAAATAATTACGGCTGCTGCAAATAGATATAGCTGCCGCAAATAATTAATTGCAAATTTTATTACCAACTAGAGTATGCGAATATGCCGGTCACCGGGATTTTTTTTTTATTTTATTTTTTTTTTTTTCTAGTTAAAAAATTTGGCAAGATTTTTAAAACATTATATGATTATTTCAATTTTCGTTTTGACTATTTTCTATATTAATTAATTTAATTATTAACGTTATTATTAATAATTAATAAAATGATGTAAAAATGATGACATTACAAAATGATATCATTGTTTTTATTTTTATGATATCATGCAAAAATTAGGTTTTTTTTTAGGCTTTTTTGAAAATTTGAAAATGCTATATAAACAATGTTAATTCTTGTAAAATTCTATATTCTATATAATATATATATATACAAAATAAATGCATAAGGCACAAAGCATAAAGCATAAGGCATAATACATTATAATAAAATTGAAAGCATTTTTTTTTTGTGTGATCATTGTCTATATACTTTAATAATATCAAAATGCGATATAATAGGACTTAAACTTTTTTTATTAAGAAAATTTGATATATTTGGAATTATCATGCAGCAAAACATGGTCAACAAAAATACTTATACATTAATTAAATTCATCAAAAAAAATTTAGTTACTGAACTGATCTACAAATAATTCAAAAATTTCTCATGAAAATATGACAAATAATACCAATGACATTAATCTTGAAGACAACTTTTATCCTCCTGATGAGAATGAAGATAGCTCTTTTCCTTCTAACCAAATCAACAGTATTTCTTTCCCTTCAAGTTCATCGAGGTTTTCTAATAAAAAGGCATTAAATAAAAGAAAAGGTAGACAATTTTCTTATATCTGGAACTACTTCAAAATGGGAGAAGTGACAGGTCATGGTCATTACAAAGCAACATGTAATTTTTGTAAAAGAGTTTGGAATTGTGGAAAACCCAAAAGAATGGCTGCTCATCTATCTAATAATTGTCTACAAGTTCCTCATGACATTCGTAACACAATTTTAAATGCTTTTTTAAAAGAATATGGATCTTCACCTCTTGATGAAAGTAGTAATGATGATGATTATGACAATGACAGAAATCAGGTTACTAAAAGACCAAAATCAGTAGCTGGCAGCACATTGCATGATTTTTATGATAAAATTAATTTACCATTAGGACGCAAAAAAGAAATTGATCATTCTCTTTTAAGAGCATTTGTAATGTGTGACATTCCTTTTTCAGCGATTAAAAATCCATATTTTTTAGAATTGTTAAAACAGCTTAATGGTGGATATCAACCTCCTTCATTTGATGTTTTATCTGCAAATCTCTTAGATATTGAAGTCGCCAGTATTAATTTAAAGATTGAAAAATTACTTGCAAAAAGTAAAAATATAACATTAAGTAAGCGTCATAAATTTTTTAAAAATTTTTTTTTACTATAGTTTTAATCTTTATTTAATTATCTCACAATTAATTTATCATTATAGGCCTTGATGGGTGGGGTAGCCCCAATGGTCTGTCAATTTGGAATTTTGTCATTACAACTTCTGATAAAAAAGAGTATTTGTATAAGTTAGAAGATTTGTCTGCTGAAAGACATACAGCACAAATTATTGCAGAAAAAATTGAAAATGTGATGACCAAGATTGGTCCACAAAGAATCGTTGCACTTTTATCAGATTCAGGTGCCAATGTTAGTTTGGCAAGAACAATAGTCAAGAATAAATATAAACATATATTAAATTTGAGATGTATAAATCACTGTCTTAATCTAATTTCAAAAGATGTAATTAAACATGGATTTGCAGAGAGGTTAATTAGAAGAACAAGTATTGTTGTTAAGTTTTTTAAAAAGTCTTACATAGCAAATAATCACTTAAACCAACTTATTAGAGAGAAAGCAATACAAGGCGGTGGTTTGAAACAATATGTGCCCACAAGATGGGTTACTACACATGATTCTATATCATCAATTGTGAGGCTACAACCATGTTTACAAGAAGTAAATTAATATTTCATATGTTATATATTTTTTTTAATTGACATTTTTTTATTTCTAAGCTTTTTTTAAATAAATATAATAAATAGGTAATTCATTCCAATCTTGATATTATTTCAAATGATACTGTAAAAAATATTCTTCGACGAAGAGGTTTTTTTGAAGATATAAATGCTTTAGCTGAAACATTAAAACCAATCCGAACAGCCATTCAAGAATTAGAAAGCTCATGTGTTTCACTTGCTGATTGTTATATTAGTCTCATCAAAATTGCTGCTGCATTCAAACAATTACCATCTGATGATTATAAAGGATTTCGAAATCATTGCATAAAAGTGTTCAATGAAAGGTAAATACTATTTTGAACTAATAATTAAAATATAATCATATTTAAATACTATAATATTTTATTATTATATTAATATTAGATTTTCAGAATTCATGAATGATACATATTTGTTAGCATACTACCTACATCCTAAATATAAAGGTTATTTAATTTATTTAATATAATTATAATTAATTTATAATTTTTATAATTTAATGGTTATATTAAATATTAATATTTATTAAAAATAGGCATTGGTATTAATAAACAATATTTTCCAAAAATTTTAATGCATGCTGGAAGTATTTGGAAAGATTTAGGACATAATCAAAATTCATGTAAAGATCTGTATGCTCAATTACGTAAATATCAACTTCATTCAGAACCATATGATGCACCTTTCTCAGATAACTATGATACTCCTTATTCCTGGTGGATCATTAGGGTTTTTAGAATTGTTGGATAATTGATTTTTTGGGTTAGGGTTGGGCATATCCCAGAATAGGTCTTCTCCTGTAATCCCTTCATGGATTGTAAAATTCATTATTGTTTCACCTTCACTCCAGTTTATTTTTCTTTGGGAATTTCCTTTTCATTGAAATGTTTGTCTTTTATTTTTTGGTTTATTATTGTGAATGGACTTTTGTAGCATGTTGTTGTGGTTCACGTTTTTTCATTTCTTCCTTTTGTTAATGTTAATTGTTTGGTTTAGTTGTGTAGTAATTTCGATTTCGGCCAGGTTCTTCCTTATTTTTTTTCTTTATTTTCTTATAATTTTCCTTGTTGTGCCACAGGTAAATTTTATTTTTGAAAGAAAAAATTTTTTTTCTAATTTATTAATTTATTAAATTGATGATAATTAATAATATTAAATCCAATATATTAAAATATTTTTCTTTGTAACCTTTTGAGTAGAAACTCCAATTAAATCTTGTGTTTTCATATTGTCTAATAATTATCAATATAAGCAAAAGCTAAACTATTGGTAAAACAATAATGCAAAAAAAATTCTTTGCTTTTAACCCCCCAAAGAAACTCACACAACCCATATATTCTCTGAAAGCTCTCAATGTATTTTAATTTAATCATTACATTCCTAAATATATATAATATATATTAATTGAAAATATAAAAATTGATACAAAAGTAAATATTGTATATTATAGAAAAAACATATTGCTATTACCATTACTGTCTTCAATATACACAATTGTTTTTTTGTGAATCTCCCTAAAACTTATTAACCAACACTTTGTAAAATATACTTTATCAATTATTCAATAGGTGGGATTGGTGTTTATTTGATGTAAAAATGAAATGCCATGTTAATATAAGTATTAAATAGATTTTTCAAAATTAATAGTTCTTTGCCTATTACTATTACCATATATTTTTGTATCTCACTAAGTACTTGATCAAATTGAGTGATCTTAGATTCAAAAGAATTCTATTTTCAAAAATTATTTATAGCAATGTTATTTAATATTGATTTTAAATCACAATTCATTGACATGTTTTGATAATCTAATTATTCTAATTGTTATTATTTATGTAGGAATAAATGTAAAAGAAAAATTTTAATTTATTGTTAAAATAAATGATTTGACATACCTAGCTAAGTGAACAAAACTAAGTATTCATAATAATGTAATTATTTGGACATATATTTCTACTTTTGCTTGCATTTGGACGCGCTAAACAAATTTCTATATAAAGGCAAAATTTGACTTTGAGGGTCAGATTATTTTTGGTTTTATTAACAAATTTTCCTTAAAGCAGATACATATAATAAAGAGGCTATATATTAGATTTGGTGGTGGTTGCTACATAGTGAAGGAGAGTATCAAGCAAGGATGTAAGCTATTCGATTATAAAATTTTTTACTATGTAAATTCGAATTTTACTATCATCTACTATAGAACTGTGGTGGCTATTTAATTCCAGTAATTTTTTTCAATAGAAATAATAAATAACGTTTATATAATATCAATTTTTGGAGAAATTGAAGGTTCTTTCATTGATGATGGTGATGTTGATTTGAAAACCTTTGTTGTATTTTTTGAAATCAGTGACAAATTCTTTTTTAAAAATTTTATTTTTCAAAAATATAAATAAAATACCATTAAAAACAAACGTTTAACTTCATTTTCTATACTTGATAATATCTTGTTTCTTTCTTTGCATTATTTGATGTATTAATTTCCTCTTTACTTTTGCTATTACTTGCATAGGTAATTGACAGTTTAAATAAATACAACAATAGAGGAAATTCTTGCAAGTAAATCAAACCTAATATTATAAATAATAATACTTTAGCTTTAAATAACTCTAATTTTTCCATTATTTTATTATAAAATCCTAAAATTGCTTTCACCGATAAATTGTTGATTTTATTATTATAATAATTGTTATCATCACTGCCATTATTTTTCACCTTTATAAAAAAATTGATTTTTTGAAGTTTATTTGTAAAGGAAAATGAACAAATAATTCGAATTAATATTAATAATATACAGGATTCCCTTCCATTAAATTATTGAAAAAATCTTATATACACGTTATATGAAATTCGACTGCGCCACATAAAATCGTAAACATATATTAATATCCGAACGAATCAATGAAATTCGAACCAATTCGAATCGAATCGAATCACTTAATTTTTGATTCGTTTCATTCAATTCGAATTCGAATCGAATCCGAATTGTACTTTGATTCGATTCGATTAGATTAGAACTGATTCGAACGGATTCGAATTCGGATTGATTTGATTTGATTCGAATATATAATTTGATTCAGTTCGAATTGATTCGAATATATAATTCGATTTGAACTGATTTGATTTGATTCAAACTGACTGGTTCGAATCTATAATAATAACTGATTTGAATCCATGATTTGAATCAAATACACTATATATAATAAATGAAAAATCTTCATTTTAATGTATATTTTATAGTTTTATTTACAAAAATATTTTTTATTTTATATTTATTTATATAGTATAAATATTGTAAAAAAATTTTACTTGGAGCAATAATTGCATCTTGCCTTTCCATCTATGGTTGTAAAATGATTCCGCGCAATGCTTCTTGTTCTTCTTGTTGAAGAAATCGAAGAAGTTGAAGAAGCATCAGTAATATTAATACTTATTATTTTAGATTTAATGAATTGACAACTGTAAATCGTGTTATTTTTTTTACTCATTATTAATAATATAGGTCACACGACCATTAACATTAATATTAAGAAATCCGTTATTATTAAAAATTCGAATAAATATCATACCAAGAAGAATTTTATTATCATTAAACCATTCTTAGACCTCAATCCATTAGTATTCATTAAATTGAGGTACACTAATTGAGATTCACTGTGTAATATAAATTTAAATTATCAAATTAAAAATATAAAAAAATTTTAGGAATCCAGTTTGATTCGAATCAATTCGAATCCTGTTTTTTTGAATTCGAATCGAATTGAATTGAATCACTCTCGATTGGAGCCTTAATGGTATAATGCAGTACATAACCATCTAAAAATTACAATTCTATTTTATATTTTTTTATATATTAATACTGCCTTCAGAAATGTTCAATGCTAATTCAAGGTCCTCTCTCATTAATGTTATTCGTTTAGCATGGGTTGTGCATAAATGCCTGATAATAATGGAGGGAGCAGTTTTTTATTAATGATATTACTAATGAAATCATTATTTTTTACAGATTGAAAATTATCAAATAAACATACCCATTTTCAAACATTTGGACTAGATATGCTTCAGCAGCTAATTTAAAAAAAAAATTACAATATAAATTATTAAGGTGTGCAACCTTTTAAGAAAATCAAAACTAATTAATTTGTTAATCAACTGATATCAAATATCCCAATAAATTATTATATAAATTCACAAACTCATATATATAGAGCAGTGTTGGCAATGACAGTTATTTAACTTTTGAACTGTCAGTTAAATAACTGGTTCAAAAGTTAAATAACCAGTT